TTTTAGTAATATAATTTAACCTTTTTCCTCATTTTCAAACTACAGCCCTCTTTTAAAAAAAAGAAAAAGAAAAACAGAATTAGTAATGATAAACATGAAAGTTTTAGGTTTAAGGCTGAAATGAAACAATATATTTAAAAGTCTCATATTGTAAATAAATGTACTCATTTATTCAGGGTTATCATTAATTTTCTAACTTCCTAGTAGGAGTACGAATTGTACCCATTTTGTTTTCTTTTTATGTACGGATGTATTTGTTGGTGGGACCGACACAGTGCTGCAACCGTATTTGGGCAATGACCTTCCTAATGAAGAATCCTAGGTCTTAGAAAAAGTTCAAAGGAAATCAGAAATCTCAATGGAAAAAAGGTTTCGTAGATGAAGATGATATTCAAGGTTTGCCATATCTTAAAGCTGTGATAAAAGAAACATTCAGATTGCAACCAACGGCTCCATTATTAGTGCCACGAGAACAATTAGGAAGTGCAATATAGCCGGGTATGAATACCTGCCAAAACACTAGTTTCGGTGAATGCATGGGCAGTAGGAAGAGATCTGAAGCTTGGGAAAACCCTGGAGAGTTCTATCCTGAGAGATTCATTGGCAGCTCCATCGACTTCAAGGGACATGACTTTGGGCTCATACCATTTGGTGCTGGAAGAAGGGCTGTCCTGGAATACATATGGGAGTTGCAACTGTAGAGCTAGCCCTTGCCAATCTGCTTTGCAAATTGATTGGGAAATGCCGGTTGGGACGGACAAGGATGATTAGACTTTGATGTGATACTGGTCTTGCTATGCACAAAAAAAATGCTCTTTTCCTTGTAGCTAGGAAGTTTAATGTTTGATTCGATCCATGTAAGGTTAAATTAGTTTGCTGCTTGCTATGGTTTGGAGTGTTTCAATTACATTTTGTGTTTTGAGTGTATTTTATGATAAAATCAATGTCCACATGTGTTGGTTATGAAGAGTTATGTCTCATAGACTTGATTTTGTGGAAGTTATAACAGAATTTTGAATAGTTTAACCACAACCAACAAAAATACAAATTGGAGATTAGATTTATTAATAAAAACCAAATTTAACCAATTGAAATATTTAAAACAAAATTCATCCATTTATTAGGAGTTAAATTTGTGACTATGATTAAGTCAAGTAAAAATTCCATTGAACTTCCACCAAACTGAATCCATGGGTAAAAACTCTTGAAATGATAATTTTTTTTTTTTACATAATTTGTGAGCGTGTTTAAAAATTCAATTGAATTTATTTAGATTCTAATTGCATCGGACTATTTATATGGATATTTAGATTTAAAAGATCCGTAATTTAATTTATTTTGAGCTTGAAATCCGAAGCCAATGTATGCCCAACATCGAGGACCCAAGTTTTTATATTAATTAAGTTTTATTCATTTAATTTAAAAAGTAAATAAAAGGACGAAAATCGAAATAAAAAATGGTGGCAGTGATGTGATGCTGCCGTGAATGGCACCATCCGAAGAGAGCGGCTGGGCTGTCGATTCATGCTGCCAGCCTCCCCCTGCAGCTTCACTCTTCCCTCCCGTGATCACTTGTTCAGGGTAATGGTAGCTAATCCACCGTACTAAGCAACCAAAGTAGAGCTTAACAGGAAAAATCAAAATTTTTAATTAAAGTGAAGTTTGAAAACCAAGAACGCAGAAGATAGGATAGCAAAAATTATGTAATTTAAGAAATTCAAATAAAAGATCAAATATTTAAATTTGAAAATTTAAAATTTTAAAATTATGAAACTCACCAAAACATAGTGGAATAAAAGACATAAGCTTTTTAAATTATTACTATAATTTTTCATTAAATTAATTTGTGTTTTAATATTTTATATTCAAAATTATTGCATATTTTTTTTATCAAAATTATATCCATTAAATATATAATAATAAAATAATTTTCCTAGCAAAAAAAAACTTTTTTTAAAAAATAATTACATTAATTACATGAATCTTAAATTATATATTTGAATATTTATGGCTATGGAGCTGAGGTTTGTACTTATTTGTGTATTATCATTTTGTGATTTGATTGATAGATTATATGCATTCACTTGATACAAATGATAAATCCAATCTTGGGGTGTGAGTGAATTGGTTATAATCAAAAGATAGTGGAATTGAACATGCTAATTAATTAGAAACTGAATGAGTGTATGATAAATCCAATCTTGGGGGGTGAGTGAATTGTTATAATCAAAACGATAGTGGAATGATCGAATGATAATTAATTAGAAACTGATTGAGTCATCTGTTTTATGCAGCACTACCAACTATGGTTGTCTTGAGAGGTCATTTGATCTGTTAGGCAATAGTTGTGGGTAGTAAAATCCTGAAACTGAACTTCACTTCTATCATCCCAGACTAGTATGAACTAACTGTCCCTTCATCTTCTAAAGGGTAAAAAATCCAGACACTTGTTTTTTATTTTTATTAAGTTGTTGTTATGATTTATTTTACAGGTAATGCTTGAATCCTATGAAGCATGGACACGGACATGTTTACGATAATAATATTATGGTGACATCATGACAATTTGTGAAAATAAGGATATGGATATGGCAAGATAGATAATAAAAAAAGAGTATTTTTTATATATTATAATCATATGTTAAAAATATATAATAGATATCGGGTTGATTTTTAAAGGTCAATTACCCTTACAAAGAAAATTTGATGTAAATACAGCACTAAAAAAAACATAGATGTCTTATCCCGTACAAGAATTGTCTTTTTTTTTTTTTTTTCATTCGAATCGATCAAGTTCGATATGTAATGTTTTCCGACAGGTCCAGCTGGTTACGTATGTCGTAACGATTAAAGTGTTAACAATGTAACACAATACGCAAGAGGTTCAAACGTATCCTTACTTCATAATTGGAATCTAAACCATCCATGACAAAGTTTGACCTTGTATATTTAGAAGTTTTGAGTGCTTCGCTTCTTTCCTGCCAATTAATTTTATGTTCTGTTAATAGAAGCGATAAGTTTCGCTTTACAGGCATTCGTTTATAAAAATGATATGTTTCGGTTCACAGGCATTTGGATAGGTTGCATTATTTGTGGAGACAACATAACTTTCCAGTATTTAAATATTATTGTTCTTTTTTGTTTCAAGTTCTGGTAACCCCAGTTCTTGTACTGAAACAGAATGTGAGCAGGGAAAATAAAGAGAATGAAAATTACTAACAGAAAACAAAAGTCTGACGCAATGAAAAAATTCTAAGCTTGTAAGGATGGTTTTCCTCCCATTATTGAGCATGATACATGCTAGAATTGTGATCCCACTGTAGCCAGTTGACAAATACTGATATCCCGCCTTAAGATTTGCAGTTGTTTGAACATAGCAATAATTATGAGTCGCATAAAAAATTCAAGCTACAAAAATTGCCTAAAATAAGCTGTGATGTTTTTTGCATTCATTTTGAAGGAAGTACAATGCAAGGTTTGCATAATTTATGAGACAATATTTGGAGTCGCATGCTGATTCAGTTTAGACTCCTTAAAGAAACACAGGCCTTTTTCTCAGGCTCGTTTCACATGAAGAAGTTGATCTGAAATTCTGCAGAATAAATTGAGCATAGTTATTTATAAGCTTCTGCAGAATAAATGGATGCTTGAGTTGTGTTCTTTTATGTCAAGACATAGGACATCCCCCTGATTTGATGATTGAAATGAGCTCCTCAAACCAATACTTGTGCTTAGCAGCTGGAACACTTTGCCTCGATCAACGTAGATGTTTCTTTACGCCGACCCAGAATGCTTATAAAGATCAAAGAAGCATATAAAAATGTTTAGTGCCTACTATAAATAGTTAAAATTCATACATAAAGGCAAACAGTTCTCAAAGCAAGTATAAAAGAAAACCACATGAAGCTCTGTTGCTTTACATTGTTTATCATATAACCTCAGGTTCGTCAAAAGCTCAATCCAGGCAAAGATTTTCATTTGTGGCTCCAACAAACTGAAAGAAACTATCATCGGAAAAAACAAAGACTTTTGATCAATGTTTTATGGATCGGATATGTTATGTCATCAATATGAAGAATTGTGCTAGAGTGGAATGAAACTTCTAAACATTATTGCACAACAGAATGATATTACAAAGAATTTTAACACTGTTACATTTCGAATATCAATTTTGCATTTGTAGAAGGCCCTAGCTCAGCCAAATTTACCTGCTTGATGCAGTTCTTACCCTATCTTATCATTTATGTTTGCACTGCTGACACAGAAAAGATTTCTGTTGTAGGAAAGGAGCTGCTGCCCTAAGAACTTCAAACCACCAATGAATTGAAGTTATTTCGTCATGTCAGACAAGTTCCACAACATCAGATTTTTGTTTTGAAGCATTTGGAATAAAAATGGCAGTACCAAAAAGGGGAGAAAAAAAAAGGAGAGAAAGGAATCCTAACAAGGCTGGAAATTTTCATTATGCTAAGTATTATGATTTCTTATAATATATGGTTTCTGATCATAAACAAGGAACCTATATACTCAAAGAGTATGATATATGGGCTATGGATGGTGGAACACGATTCACGGGTATGGAATGTCCAAGGCACTTATTGCCGGTTCTGGAAGAACACCTTATTCAGTTTAAAAGACAAAATTATGGTAAATTAAACATAAAATATAAAAGATTTTCCTTCACTATAAAAGAAGAACCTTTCAAATGATTTCAGAACCGTGGAAATAACTAATTTTTTTGGCAGTCTGTGTATAGTTGTAACATTACCACTTTCATAGGAAACAATGTTTCCCTTGGGGGAATTTTGGCGCCACTGACACTGTCCTCACTCCCAAGTCGGGCCATAAATCTTTAATATCTCATCATTTAAAAAGAAATTGAGTTCTCAATGGGTTTGACGCAGAGATTTTGGTATTGACTCATTCAGGCTGCCATAGGGTCAATTTGACAGCAGTGAAGGCAATGCATGCTTCAGCTAAGTAAACAGCATTCTTCTTTTTCAGGTCTTTCCATCCCGCTTTTGCAAAACCACTTTGTGTGCTCCTAAGAAGGCACTACTCACTAGTCTCTGCGAGTCACTGAAACCAGAATTAGATATCAAATAAATCTTCAAGCATATAAGAAGATAACAAACATTTAATAATTGAAAACTATTCTTGAATGATTATGCCAAAAAAAAAATCAGAAGTCAATGAAACAAAATGATTAATAGATATAAACATTTTAACATATCTGTTCTGTTCTTGAAATTGTCCTATAGGGAATTTTTACCAGAAGACTGAAAGAAATATGTTTCATAGACTACAAAAAAGAATTTTCCTAAAGTTTTCTAACTTTTAGTAAACAATCCAAGTGCCATAGTTACTCAGTCTTTTCTGTGACCAATCACAGGTATGGCAGAAGGAAGTACACATAAAGAAAAGCCAAAGACATGAGGATATCATGAATGAGTCATTAACATAAGAAAAAAAAATATATAGAAATAAACTATAAGACCTATCCATTCTGAAACTATTCCTAAATTTTTCTTTTAAAATGGTAGCAAAACATTGAATCCATGTATCAAACCTGGAGAGAACCATCTGCAAGTTTCCAATAACTTCTAAATTAAATCATTATACTCCATGACGGAAGGAAGAACCTTCTTTCTCAATTCTGCAATATAGATTACACTACAATCAAAAGTTTTGCATAAAGAGATTCACTCGTTTCTAACAAATGGCTTCAAAATACTGTCCCCAATTTAATAACCAGGATTTTATCAATGCTTAAACTTAAAAGGTTAAAGTCTGAATTTGATTCCTTTACTACCTCAATCCTATCGGTTTAGTCCAACTTCAATTTTAATGAATTTAGTCCATGTAGTTTTATTAAACATAGATTTTTTATACATATTTCATTTCATTGTAAAACAAAAAGCTATGTGTGTAATGGATTGAACTAGTGAACATTCTATTATGAAATAAAAAAAATAATAATCAAGAATATAAATCACTTGAGCACTTGATTTAATAGTACGTTCATGTTCTTCAAATAAGTAGCATATAATTGCAAAGTTGACATACACCTGATTTCTGGGCGTTTCTTCCGGTAACAAATTAGCAATTAGAATGCAAGGAATGTGGGCTATTTTGGGCCACTCTTGTCCTTCATCCTCCTTGCATCGTTCTCTTAGCAGTGGACAGTCAACAATATCTAGTTGCAAAAGTGAGTCAAACATCTCCTTTTCCGGAAGGAATTTGATCACGGGGCAGCTTCGGATTTCCAATGATTCAAGAAATTTGAGATTTTGAAAGCCTTTGGAGGATAGAGTTTCCAGGTTTGGAAAACCGAAGATTGTGAGGGAGGTGAGAGTGCGGGGCAGAAGCATTTCCTCACATGGGAAAGACACCACATCTAGAGAAGCACCGTTGATGGACAAATGTTTAAGGGAGGTGAGTTTGTGCAAACCCCACTCGATCACTGACTTGCAAATATTGGGTTGCAAGATTGTAAGTGAAGTGAGATTGGGAGGGAACCCCTCTTCCGGAAATGATATCACACTTGGACAATCAAATATGAGCAATTCTCGCATAGAGACGATGTTGTGGATGCATTTAGGTAAGGCATGGAGTTTTTCACACCGAGAAAGGCTAAGATATCTGAGCTTGTTTAATTCACGAGGCAAAGATCTCAAATTATCACAACCGCAGATAACCATCGATTCAAGGGAAGAGTTCTCTTCAATTTCTTGAGCTATGGACTCTAGTGCTCTGCACTTCTTATATCGAGGTATTTAAGCCCACCATAGGTAACTTGCCATTGATGACAAGGATGCAACTTTCACAACCATAAATGTCAACATGTTGAAGCCTAATAGGTAACTCGCCCCTGAGGATAAAGATATCAGAGACTTATCAATTTTCAATCACCAAGTGCTCTAGAAAGAGGCGTGCTGTTGATGTTGTTATTTACTCCATCCAGCAAGTACTGCAAATTCTCACACTCCTTAATGGTTAAACGTCTTACGTTTGGAGGCAAGTTTCCATTTGAAATTGAAATCAATCTTGGGCATCCCTCAATTCCTAGCACCGTAAGGGATCTGTAGCTGTGTAGGCTTTCTGCTAACCTTTCTAGCCTTTCACAACAGTGTATGCTCAAATGTTCAATATGGCAAGGGATTCCTAACTGCATATGCTCTTCCTTTCCGTCCTCTGCCCCTATGGAAACAAGTCTTGAGCAATTATGAATTTCCAAAAAGCGAGTAGGCCTCAAATGTGTTGAGGGTCCTTCCTGGTTCCGCCATGAAGAAATTAGCTCCTCACATCCACATATATAAAAAGACGTTCAGCTTTTATCAACCCTAACATCATCCCCTCCATTGGAGAAGTGAATTTTGAAATGTCTGAAAGAGAGACTCTTTCAATGAATGAGCCAGAATTTGCACAACTTGTAGACGACACCTCTTGGCACCCATTAATTTCCAAGTCAGACAACTTTGGAAGGCTTGAGAGTGAAACTACCAACTTCTCACATTCTTGAATCACAAGTCTCTCCAATGAAGGAAGACAACTAGGTAGACTTCTCAGCTGTTGACACAAATTAATCTTCAGCTTCTTCAAGGAAGGAAGACGATTAGGTAAACTTCCTAACAACTTGGGGCAATTTGAAATGATGAGCTCATGAAGGTGTTGGAAACTCCTTACATTTTCATCAACTTCACAGGGATCCCATTCCTCCCATTCTGGCATGTCCTGAAAACGTAATCTCTCTAGTGACGGAAATGCATTAATCGATAGATCCTTTCCAAAAATATTAGCACCCACTTTTTTAACCTTACTCATCCTCCGGATAGAAAGCGATTTTAGCGACGTTAATCTTCCAACAGCTGGTAATAATGTGCAATTTGGACAGTAATACAGATCCAGAATCGATAGCTTTCCAAATGAAGGATCTCCGAACCAATTTGGGAATGTTTCACCTCCATAACATTCGATGGTAAGCCTTTCAAGCATTTTAGGAGGTTGGAGTGAATCCAAGATGTCCTTGTGAATTTCTTCTCCGGCGAAATTATAACTCCACTCTAAAGCTAAATCACGAAGGTTCGACTTATAACATAACCCAGCCACCCATGCATCTTGAGCTTTGACAACATTCTGCAATTCTGAAATAACAAGTCCACCCTTAAGATTAGACAAATTCTCCATCTCCCTTATCTTACGGCCATTGTCTTGACTGACAACAAAATTTGTCAATGTTTGGAAATTGGTTAGTTCACCGATTCCCATTGGCATCATTTTTATTGAATCTGCACCTCTAATGTCAAGATGCCTTAGGTTAATTAAAAATCTCATTTCAGAAGGAAACTCTTCAAGACGAGAACACCCCGCAACAGCAAGGTCTCTAAATTGTAAAGCTTGCATATTGAATCCGGTAGAGTTTTGATTATAGTGCCAGAAAAATTTAGATAACGCAGATGCACCAAATCTCCAATAATATTGGGAAACTCCGTCAGGTAGCACCCTTGTAAAGAAAACACCCTTAAGTATTTAAATTCTGGCAACAACTCACTGAGAACTTGATTAGAGATATACCTCCACCCTTCGGGCATCTTCAACGGTAGGAAGGTTCTTAAACCCTTCTTTCCGTAAAAGACTTGGAACATTTTAATTCTGTCTTTCCTACCACCAATGTAAGATGAATGGCGAGCATGACTGGAAACGTTCAATGCCTTGTCACCCTCCACTCTGAAGCATATATCTTTGGCAACTGAATGAGCCAAATCATTAATCAGATCATGCATTATATATCGAGAATCATCCTTGTTGGATATTTCAAAAAATGACCTTTGTACAAGTTCTTGAAAGTACTCATGACCCAAATCTTCATTTGCTTTGTAGCTTCCACTCGCAGAAAGCCTTCTGCCATCCATAACAAGACTATTTCTTCCTCGGTAAATTCATAGTCTTTGGGGAGTAAGGCACAGTAAGCAAAACATCGCTTTAGATCTGCAGGAAGATGATGATAGCTTAATCGTAAAGCTTGAAATATGTTACTCCTCTCTTCTGGTAAATTCCAAATCTCACTTTTTAGTATCTCTTTCCATTTACCAATGTCCACCTTATTGCGCAAAAGGCCTCCAATGGTCTTAGCTGCCAAGGGCAAACCCTTGCACCTTTTCGCAATCTGTACAACAAATTCTCCCAAGTTTGGATGCCCACTAAAATCTTTTGCTCCTAATGCATGTTGAGTTAATATAGAAATGCAATCATCATCTGACAACGTTGGCAGCTTGTAATCTGGGATAGTACCCACCATTGATGAAACAGTTTTATCACGTGTTGTCACAACAATCGTAGTTCCTACGCCAAAAGGGGATATTAGACGACTCCAATCATCATAGTTTTGAAGCCAAAAATCATCCAAAATCAGAAGTAGTTTTTTCTCCACCAGCTTCTTCTCCAATTCTGTTTGAAGCTTATTCAAATCATCTCCAGCATTAGAAGATTCAGAACTAACTGATCGCAAAATTGATTTCGTTATCTCCTCCATCTTAAAGTCTTCAGAAACACAGACCCATGCTTTAAGATCAAAATGATTATCTACACGACTATCA